CTGTGCTCTATACATTTTGTTGGGTGAGTCTATAGCCTATAAATTTATTTAGTTTTGTTTTATTTGAAGGTAATGTACAGTTGAAGGTCAAAGGTGAGAAAGCACACCCTCAGTGGAGTACACACCTCAATAAATCTTTTTATCTTGCTATGTTACACACATACAACCGCTTTGGGCTGAAAATATTCCATTGCTGTAATTGAGCAAACATCTAAATAATACGGGTGTCTGAAATAATGGTATAGGCTATAAAATGCCCCTCTTTTTCTACAATTAAGAATACTCACCAAATAGGAAGAAATAATTTGTTTCTTTTTGATATCAAGTAATGATCTTTTTATGTTTTTAATTTTTTAATGTTTTTAAATTGCTATAGGGTGCACATGTTTTCCAGAGAGAAACAGAAAGAGAGGGAATAAGTGAAACATCACCCCACAGAGGGAATGGTTATTCCTTCTCCATACTCCTCCCAGGATTTTGAACATTTACATAAATGTGCCTGGTGTGATTTTCAAGTCGCCAGGTCCAGGACTCAAACTGCAGTTGGCCATGTGGGTGTCCAGCATGTTAACTACTACACCACCTGCTGGCCCCCGTGCAATACCTTCTGCTCTATTCTCTTAGGATTTCAGGCATGCACTCACAAGCGTCTAGCATGTTTTTCAAGCTGCTGGGTCTTGGAGTTGAACCGTGGTCAGCCATGTGAGAGTCCAGTGCCTTAACCACCACACCGCCTGCTGGCCCCAGTGATGACCTTTTAAAAACATAGGCTGTATTTACTCTATTGAGTTACAGGGTATACAAAATAGTCACTAGTATAAATCCAAACAGCTTGTCAGATTTGTATAAAAGCCACTAGACAGCCTTTAAAAAAAATCCTAGCATAGTAAAATGTCAGTAATTAAGGCTAATTAAGGTGAAAGCAAATTGGAATAAAATACTGTTTTTTGTTATATTCAATTGACAAGTAATAATTGTACATGCTTATGAGATACAGTATGATATTTCAGTATATGCATATAATGTATTATGATCAAATCAGGGTAATTATCATATCCATCACCTCAGACATTAGTTGCTTCTTTGTATTGGGAACATCCAAAACCTTTTCTTCTAGCTTTTTTTGAAATGTATAGTAAATCATTGTTACACATAGTCACCCTACAGTGTTATTCAACTCTAGAATTTATTCCTCCTATCTAGCTGTAATTTTGTTCAGAGGCTATTTTTAAGTAAAGTCAATTTTATTATTTTCAAATTCACACACCATGTAACAATAGACTAAGAGAAAAAGGTGCCAAGTGTGCATTCTAAAGTAGCCTACTGTGATAAGTCAAAAAATGGTTTGCAATTGGAATATCAGTTATTTCTATGACTAATAGAAAACTATTTTAGAATGCCTAAAGACACTTCTGTTTATATGTCAAACAGCTTTATTATAATAGCATTTATACTATTAATTTTATAAACAAAAATAGAAGGTTAATCAACACCTATAAATCCTCAGCTCCAATAGGTGTTCCACTACTGAGGGAGTGAGAACAAAACAAAATGATAGTGCTCAAATGTTAGAGGGAGAGAGAGACACTGACATTTAAACAAAAATTGGCATGTTAACCGAAGTTGGAGTGTAATATGTTGACTAGTTTTGAAATGCATTGCAAACACCCAAATAAATAAACACAATAAGAACAGTGGTCTCTGGGAACCAGCAGTTAGCGTAATGGCTATGTCGCTGGACTCCCACGTAGTCGACTGCGGTTCGTGTCCTGGACCCGGTGGCTTAAAACTCACGCTGGGCGCGTGTGCATGCGTGCCCAAGATCCCGAGAGGAGAATGGAGGAGAGGGGATTGCGGCGTGACCATCCCCCCTGGGGGGTGATTTCTCGCTTTCTGTCTCTATGTCTCTCTCTGTCTGTCTGGCGAGCGCACGCGCCCTACAGTGAAAATCTCTCAAAAAAAAAAAAAAAAAAAGAACAGTGGTCTCTGATGAATGCTCCTTATGCAATTTTACTTATTCTGGGGGCCAGATTCTTGACTTCATGCCACAGTTACTAGTTTTTGCAGAGTATCTAGTCCTCCGCTTACAAAACATCTCTTTAATTCATAACATCTTTTAACTTTTTGGAGGCAATGAGATTAATTAAGAAAGACTTTACTTATATCATGAAAGCAGCAGCATAGTTTTATAGTACTATGCTATATACATTGGCTTTTATAGTACGATGCTATATACATGGGCTTGTCCATCCATAGCCAGTCTTTGCCCTCCTCTGTCCTGCTCTCTATTCTGGAAGGCTAACCTGTTACACAACGGGCTTCCATGCTCTCTGGCTTCTTGTTGGTTTAGGCGTTGGAGAGTCCTAGTAGGAAGCCTATTGTGAAGAAAAGAGGGGAAAGTGAGACCCTCCCCATGAGATAATGGCAGGTTGACTGTATCCCTTGACAAAAGGTTATTGCTCATCTTCACGTGGTTTCTTCTTAGAATTCTCTGCTTCTGGCCTCCTCTCCCTTTCCTCCCATCCCTTAGGCCTGGCTCCAGTGACTCTAGGTTCTTATATTATCTGTGGTGATTTTCTTATTCCCTGCTTATGTTGCAGTTTGTTTCTTTATAGATAAACCTCTCAGATATGCCAGGTCAGATCACAGAGAAACATATATGTCAAGCTAAGATATCCTGAAGATTGTGCAGAAAGTTTTAAATGAGGGAGTGGGGTGATCAGATTTACATTAGCTATTACCCTCTCTATTGTATAGAATGTATGTTATAAAACAGAGGCTTGGGATGAGAGAATTATATAGAGTTCTGTTGCAGACATGAAGGCAAAAAATGAAAGAGCTTTGCAGTGGTAATAGAATAAATTGTATATGAGGGAAATTTTTATCTAATTTGTCTTAAGTGAGGCTTATGGAAGAATTATTTCCATTGCATGAAACCAGTTTAAAGAAGTTGTTTAGAAAAAAATGTTATCCTGTTTTTCATTAATGTTCCCTTTTTTTTTTTTGAGAGAGAGAGAGAGATTTTTGCTATAGAGCACGTGTGCTCACTGGAGAGACACAGAGATACAGAAAGTGAGAAATAACTTCCCAGGGGAGACGGCCATGCTGCAATCCCTTCTCCTCCATTTTCCTCTCAGAGTCTTGGATACACACACGTGTTTGTTTGGCGTGAGGTTTAAATTACTGGGCCATGGATTTGAACCGTGGTCAACTATGTGGGAGTCCATCTATGTAACCATTATGCCATCTGCTAGTACCATACTGTTCATGTTCTAAAATAAAGTCAGTGTATAATCTATAGGGCATCTCCAGTTTAGATTCACAGTGATACCATAAATAGCCTCAATATAAGCCAGTCTTACTGAATATATCTAGCTTGAATGTCTAGATGTTGTTAAAAGAACTTTCAAGTATACCTTTCTGCTCTTGAATTCTCTCAGAAGATCTTAAGAAAAAGTATTGAGAGCTAGTGGTTATATTTGAGAAAAATCATTAGGGGAGTAGAAAAGTGAGACAGGAAATGGAAGGCAACCAATAAAGGATGGTACATCATCAAATAAGTGACCACTTTGGTCCACTGGAGTTTGGTCAACTGGGGAAACCCTGGAACCCTTGGCAAACACGTGTGTAAGAATGATCTCCAGCTTCAAAGGAGCTGGATTATCCATATGCAATTCCTACCATCAGTTGTTAGTTACAGGCAGCTCTTAGGGGATGACAGGGAGGTGTTAAGTCCCTAGTATCTCTAGCCTACCACTTAGATGCCAAAGCAAACTCCTGTGGCAACAGAAAGCCTTCAGGCGATAAAATGCCAGTGCTAATATTGGAAATTAAGCTGATAAGCACTAAAGTGGTAAGAGTAAAGAAAATTTGGGCATTCTACAATAATACATTTCTTTTGTTGTTGTTTTTGTTTGTTTATTTGTTCTTTTAGTTTTTTGCCATAGGGCTTGTGTGCTTGCCGAAGAGAGACAGAGAGATACAGAGGAAGGGAAAGTAAGAAATCACCCCCCACAAGGGGAGATGGCCATGCTGTAATCCCTTCTTTTCCATTCTCCTCTCAGTATTTTTTTCTTACATGGAAATGCACCTGGCATGATTTTCAAGCCACCATATCTGAGACTTGAACTGTGGTTAACCATATGGGACTCTAGCACCTTAACCACTGTATCACTTTCTGTTCTCTATATTATCTTTCTAAAAGATATTCATGTTCAATTGTAAGGACTAACAATAGAACTGAAATTGTGTATATATATATTATATATATGTATATGTATATATATATATATATATATATATATATATATACACACACACACACATACACACACATATAT